TAGTGCGTGAGGGGCGGGGTGGGGGGGGGGGGGGGGGGGGGGGGGAAGGTTCTCCTTTAATACTTCAATGCCCCCTGATCCTTCTCGTACAGGAGTGCCATGTGAAAAGAGTTACTAAGTTTGGAGACAGCCCAGTGGAACAGAAGACGACCATCATGGTGGCAGCTCATTAGGCATGAAAAAGAACCACATCAAGCGCTTAGGCAGATACTCTGGCTGAAGTCTGTATTTCCTGCACATGCATCTTCTTTGGATACTTTTTCTGGCAAAATACAGTGTAGAAGAGATGTTTGCACTGACACACACACCTGTTCTACTTCCATAACAAATTATGGGAAATCTACCTTCAGACACAGCACTAGCCTAATTTTGCCTATCTAAATGTACCACTGATGGAAAACCATAAAGAAGCTAATCCAGTCTCAGGGTCTGAATTTCTTTTGGGGAGACCAGAGTGAAGCCAATGAACCTGCCCTAATCTCTCAATGTCCCATTGAGAAAATAAGTAATTCATACACCAGTAAAATGCCAGAGTCAATGAAGTTTTATATGGCTGTAAATATATGTAAAACTGGTCCATAGTACTATACCAAATGCCATCTGATTCAAGTGTACAGCAAGACCTGTGTATACAAGTGATATTGTACATATGACATTTGTATTATATTTGAATACTGATGTGTATTGTGTACATCATATATGTGCCTTTTTACATCATGAATTTGCTTACTTACAACTGACTGTCCTGTACCACCCTCAAAGAGAGAGACAACATTTGTGATCACATTGTCAAGGGCTGAACAAGATATGCAACCATCATACACAGCACCCAAACCGAGGCCTAGAAAGAAGCAATATATTCACAGTCTCTGCTGAAAGAATCTGGTTTCAAAATTAAAAGCAACCTGTATCCTCCCCAATGTGAACTTTGCCAACACGTCAATTGTCATTTGCAAATTTGAGTTTCAGAAACAAGTTGTTTCCTCTCCAAATTTCATGACGCTCATTTTCCCCGAAAACATAAAAATATCATGGTAAGAGTAAAAACCAGATTTGTTTTTAAAATGTTGTAAAGTTACAAAGGAGTTTTAAAACAAAGAGGGAAGAAAAAAAACACTATGTACCATTAGAAAACAAAATCCCAGACCAAGATTTTAACATTAGGGTTAACACCCACACATAAGACAGGGGCCTCAGGTGTGCCCGGTCACCCACAGAGCCGCACACAGCCCCCCTACAGCTCCCCCCCCAATGATTAAAGAGATTGGAAAAAATAAACCAGGAGCATATTCATTTCCTATCGATAACTGTATGCACTTGTTTTAATTTAATTCAACAAAACAAATGCTTCAGTAAAGGCTCCCCCCATATTATCATAGAGCAAATTATGAATGTAGGTAACCACTGATGGGATTTAAATAAAGATTAAAAGGTAGACCTGTGGCTGAATCTCTCTCAATCAAGCGAGATTTCAACCCTTTCAGAAAGCTTCTGAAATCAATATACGAGCCCAGCTACATATTACATACACGTAAGCATTCAGGCTACCATTAAAAAAAAAAAACACCTCTAATCTAGGCACGGCCCAGCCTGGTGCCAGAGATCTGGAGGCTTTTTCTAAGTTTCTGAATATATTTTCCAACAATCCCCAAAATGGCCCATGACTAACAACAACAAAAACTGGACAAACAGCCGCGCTGGTTTCCATATAGGCTGGTAGATGGCCGCAAAACCTAAAAGTCTGGGCAGATTTGCACCTTGTGAACTAACCAAAGGCGCGTGTGCAACGCATGGGTTATGTGCGTGGATGCGCACGCCTGCGTACGTGTGCGCACACCAGCCCGTGTATGTGCAGATGTGCGAGTCTATGGGCACGCATGCATGTGTGTGTGTGTGTGTGTGTAATGCCTATGTTGGGGCGCGTGCATGCCGCACGTGGGCGCGTGTACACCCCCGTGCGCACACGCATCGGCGGGTGCACGCGCAGGCATGTGCATCCGCGCGCGCCCGCGGCGCGTGCACACGTGCACGAGGCGCGTGTGCGCACACCTGCTCTCCCGCCTGGCGGCGCTTACCGTGGCCGAGGCGAGGCCGGCGTCGGCCAGGGCCAGGTGGTGCGGCTCCCAGCGCCGGAGGAACTTGGCGGTGAGGATCTTGCTGAGGAAGGTGCGCGGGTGGCGGATGACGCACACCTGGATGTCGCCCTCCTGCAGCAGCTTGTAGCGCATGCCGTGGCAGTGCAGCAGCGCCCGGCGGCACGGCGCCGCGCCGCCCAGCCGCTGCCCCGCCACCGCCCGCCTCTCCCCCACC